GCCAGAAATGACACAATCTAACTAAATTTTTCATTCAATTTATAACACAGCTTATGTGTCTTGACAAGAATAACAAGCTTAATAGAAGAAAAAACTAAGAATCCAGTTTTCATTTAAAATTCTTCCTAACACAAGCCTACAGAACCAAATACTATAATACCATAAAATGACAAGTTGCAAAATTCAGCGTTTGAGCACCATATCAAACAACTATAGTAGTGCAGTGCTTTAATGATAAATTCACAGAATCAAAATCTGAATCTCTCAGTTGTCACTGTGTCGACGATTTCACCGCACATTTTTTAACAACAACCGGCAATAATAATGCTTTTTCCTCTCCTGTAAAAAACCGTCAATAAGCTAAGAAATGATATCAGGGTCTAAGCTGAATATAAATCTCAATTAGGAACAGACGTGAAAACTTAATTATCAGTAGAGAATTTAGTAAAGAAAGATGATTTTCCACCAAATTATTTGCATCCATTCAGCTTTTGATAAAGTAAAATAAAATAGTACACCACTAGTTTTGCATATTTCTACAAATTCTACCCAATTAATTCCATACCACAAGCAAGCCTCCAGTGACGCTGTAGTACAATGTTAAATGAAAGCAGACTTTTAAGAGTCATTAAAAAGCGAGGTCCCACCAAACTTTTGTTTGAGAACAAATTACGTCTGAACGACTTTAGCATAATTGTTCAAGAAGCAGTTTGTTCACAAGCCCATATTGGCAACTCATTATCAAAAACCTTTCGGTTAATTCTTTTCACATTTTATATTTTTGCTTACTTAGAAAATTTCGATAATGCAAATAACTATCAGGTTTAGTCTTTCCTAAAAGAAAAGTTTTTTGCAATTATAAGTATAGATAATGGAGTCATTTGAAAAATTCTTTTGCCTGTAGAATGTGAAAAACAAAACAATGACCAAAGAAAAAATCGACAAAAACCTGGTCAACGTTCCAGACAAATGACCTTATTTACAGATACTGTTGTCCAATTATAAGTCCTAAAAAGGTAGTAAAAAATGTACTAAAAAATCGTATGTACGAAAAAAATCAAGCCAAAACAACAAATTAGCTAAACCTAATTGGTTTAGCTAATTTGTTGTTTTGGTCTGATTTTTTATTTAAAACTCTCAGCAATTAGACACTCTTTTTACTTATTTTTTCTCACAACAAAATCGGAAACCCTTCAGCACCTTTACTGACAATCTACACAGAAAAACAAGGTTGACCAGGTTTTTGTCGATTTTTTCTTTGGTCATTGTTTTATTTGGTCAAAATAATAATTGTTATATTATGACATACTTAAAAAGAAATGTGTCAAGTCTGATGTCAGCAAGTGCACAGCGATATAGACAGGGTACCACTAGTAAGGATAAATTTTTTTGATTATGACCTTTTCCCAGTGTAGCGCTGGTGATGTCGGGTCATTCCCCTGCGATGTCCATTAATTAATCTTTTTCAGCTTCTCAGCAATTAGACACTTTTTTTTACTTATTTTTTCTTACAACAAAATCGGAAACCCTTCAACACTTTAACTGACAATCTACACAGAAAACCTGATAAAATTTTCGCCAATTATAACAGAAAAAATCTGTGTACAAGGCACTCTTTACTGTTGTATATTCACAGCTCTTCCACTTTGAGTGTGTTCTTCTTGTCTTCTTTCTGATAACTTTCTAACCAAAAAATGCTGCAATGTAAGTGCTCTTACTTTAAAAAAAAATTTAAAAAGATTTTTTTTCAAAAAAGAGTTTTAGCAAATTGCGCGCAAGCAACAACTAAACAGCTTACAAACAGAAGCTTAGTCTACATTTACGAATTGTACTTGTACATAGTGTAAAATATAGAAAATCTGCAGTTCAAAAGAAAACATTAGAAAAACTTAAAGTGTAACAAAAAGGAAATAATGACAAATGCCCGTTACTTGAACTCGGTTTGACAGATACATGTTACTCGAGTATAATAACTGTAATGATTAAATTTTGGCATAAAATTTTCAGAAAACTAATTTTAACCGGGAACAATACGATGAATAGTTGTCAGTATGAGAGACAAATAGCAAGTGAGCAATGTAAAACTGTGAATTTAAAACTGATGTTTCGTTAAGAACACCACTATCAATACTTGAAGTCTAGTGAAAAAATAAGTAGGCAAAGAAAAAAAAGACAAAACATACGAAGCCAATCTGTACAATACCCATAATTAAGATCAGCTGTGTATATATTTACAAGTGAAACCAGTGATTCAGAAAAAGAAAGCAATTCTTTTATAAAACAACAAAGATGAGGGATAATCTAAACACTAACACCGGACCCAAAAATTTTCTAACAAGTCGCTGCTGCATGAAAAAAAAAAAAGTAAAATTAGAACGAACTAGTGCGGTTTTTTGTGCTTAAGTTCAGCGGTTCTTCGTCAAAAACGGCTGAAGTCGTGTAAGTAAGATTATGAGCGTGAGCCAAGGGTGCACATCGAGTGGGCTTTTCTAACAACGAGACAACAGCTCGATGCCTCTCTGCCATCGACAAAGTGCGGTCTTGAGCTAACCTATCCCTTAGACTAACCTGAGTAAAATGTGCGTTATGAAAGATACCGAGATTTGGAGAAGGATGATTAGTTTTATGCCTATCTGGGTAATAGCGTTGTTCTAAAGAAGGAGAAGCTGTATCAGAACTATCTTTTCCGGGGCACGCAGACGTGCTTAAGCTTTCTTCGGAAACCGAGCTTTGCGTTGGAGACATGCAAAAGTTCACCGATGGAAATCTAATGGCCTGTAGCTTTTCCTGATGAAGTGTGTGAAGCGTACGCAGATCAGTAAGTGCGGTTATCACAACTTGTCCAGGAGATGAATTTGATGTCATTCCCAGCGAACTTTGAAGAAGACGACTAAGGTGATCAAACAGTGCTTGCGGTATAGAAGGTTGCTGCAGGTTCAAGCCTTCCGGATTACATATAACCAAGGCGCAGAGTAGGCTTAACTGACGTTCTGTAAAACCAAGGTGCCTAAATCGCTGCAGAAAGTCCATTAACGAGTCGGTAAAGAATCGTCCGGTTTCTCCGGAAACGCGAGCTGTTGGGACAACAAACGATGCTGCATACGGTACAGGTAATGTAGCGAGCAGCAACACTTGAAATATTGAGCCCTGCAAACAACAAATATCAAATTAAAACATTTAGTTATAATGTGTGATTTCAAAAAAGAAAAAGGCTGAGGAGAAGCAAAAACGACTCACTTTCAGCAACTGAATCCGATCACGCTGGAAAACGAGACGGAAACCAGGAATAGCAGTAGAGAAATCAACAACTGCTTTTACCACTCGTAAATAAGAGTGCGATCTGAAAGCATCAGCGTTACGCAGGAAAAGCGCAAAATAAATGAGCCAAAAAAAAAAAAAAAAA